AGGATCAATCACTAATATTTATGAAATGATAACTTCAAAACCTGCTATCATAAATTGCTCTTAAATATAATTTTAAAATTTGAATTTATAAAACAAGATTTCATTGTTATTTGAAGCTATGAATTAAAAATGTAATGATTTACATTACTAAATTTATCTTGATTTGCTTTACTCTTAAATTTTACCAGATTAGAATGATAATACCCTTAAATTTTAGGCTATAAAATTATATAAGTAGTTTTAAATTTAATATGGATAAAGCAAACCTTAAACTAGATTATTAATTGAAGCAAATTAAAAAAAATGTTATGATTTAAATTCTAACCATTTATTTATTACATAAAATTCTAGTGAGACTTAAGTTAATTAAACACAAAAGATTGAAGAACTAAAGGATAATATAAAGAAAGTAGATTCAACTCTGAAATATCTTAGTAGAATAAAGCAACAATGTAAAGAGCTACTTCTAGAAAATAATAATATGTGGAATTAAGAACTTTTTGAGTAACTGTAAAACTCATAATTATGTTTAATAAATCTAATACACTATGTTGATGAAATTTATTTCAATTTTATAGGAGTAAATACAAAAAATGACACAATTTATACGAATATTGCTGAATTGTTGAATTTCACAAATTTGATAACAGAAGAAATATAAAATATAATTATGGTCAATGAAAACCCATTAATTCTTTAGGGTAAAGAGATTATCTGGCAAATTAAAAAAAGAACTAAACAAATATTTAATTTATAATTTAGTATAGAATCAACTGATGTAGATTATCTTATAGATTTTATCCAATTTCAATCCACTTATCTTAAAACGAATCCACTTAGATTTATTTCAAATCTAGAAAATAGAATCTAATAATAATTTAATGACAAAACAATAAAGATTTTCCCAGAAAATTACTACTAAATTTAATTAAAAAATGTATACAAAAGTAGATATATTTCATCTGAAGATTTCATATCCACTTACAGTTTGAAGTTTGGGGCATATTCTATTTGTTCAAATGACACAAAAACTATATAGAAATATTAGTTATAATGTATGATGATTACATTATCTGGTAAATTTTATTAATGTTACTTACAAAGTGTATAAATTAATGATATTGTTGAATTGACCTGTGAGTGTAATAAGTTTGGTGATATATTTTTAATAACTTCCTCTAACATTACCTCTTTGGTTGAAAACTCTACTAACTAATAAATCATTAATGAAGATATTGATTCAACATTTTAGGATTATTTGATTTTGATGATTTGTACATGTTCCTTGACATTTGTTTTTTTGACCATATATATCACCTATCTTATTAGAGATTAAACAGAAGAAGAAAAATTAGATAGCGAACCAAGTAGTTAAAATTAGGATAAAAGTTCTTTAACGTATTTAGGGAATTCAAAGGTTTTCAAATAATAATTTAAAGTAATATTGAATATAATTATTAGTTAATCCACTAAAGCATATCTATATTTTATTATAAAGACAAAAACATTCAACTTAGTTTTAGGATTTTAGAAGTGTTTTCTTAATTCAATGTATAATTAAGTTTAACAATTCTTGAATGTTTTTTATTAAACAATTAAATTCTTTTTATTTGCATATTTATATTTGCAAATCCTTTTATCACTTTGATTTTGAAAATATTATACAAGATAATTGAAGCAATATATAGATTCAAAAGAATTGCTAGTTTTATTAGTTAGTTTCTTCTTATTATCCTATTGATAACACCAAATCTTATATTGTTTATTTTTTACATATTCAAGTATTTTATTATCTTATTTTAGAATTTAAATGTAATCCGAATATTATTTAATTATTATAATCCTTGGAGGGAATATACTTTTATCATAAGCACTTTTAGAACCCATTACAATATATATCAGAATATTATTATATAGATTAATAGCCTCCAGTATTAAAAATATGGAACTTAATCCTGTATTTCATTTGATACATTTTTTTGTAATGCATAGCAGTTTAGAAGATATATTTGATGAGTTCACGAGAATATGATAAAATAATTATAATAAGATAATTATAATTATAATATAATTCATTTATTTTATAATTTAAATATAATTATAAGAATTAAATAAGATAAGTTTGTTAAACCATTTATAATTATTATATTAATCTTGATTTTATTAGATATTTAATAGTTGCAATTGATTTTAATTAAAAAATGTAAATATTTTATAAAATAAAATAAATATCAATCATATTAAGAGATACTATATTCTCTCAGAGTTATTTATTTATTCTTAGTAAAGCCACTTGAATAAAAAGGAGTTTTTGAATTGCTATTTGTTTATTTATTTAATAATTAATATACTATAATTAACATGAATAGAATCGATTTTAATTGGGTTCCATTTCATATAGTAGCTTGTTCTAGTGAGGATTTTAATAGTCCTGCAGACTTCCTGTCAACTCAATAATATGGATAACAACGAAGTTGGGAATGTAGTAGAACTGCAGACTATCCAGTTGAAATAATCCTGAGATTTCATACCAGAATTTAAGTTGATCATTTATTGATAGCTAGTAAAGCTGATAAAGGGATTCCAAAAATGAATATATATATAGGAGATGGATTAAATGGAGGATGGAATGATGCTGAATATAGAAGGGCTGGACAATGCGAGAATATTTACGTTAAACCTCTTTAAGTGAAATTAACAGGAATAGGGAATTATTTGAAGATTAAAATAATTGAACATCCAAAGAGAGCTCCTTAAAACCCTTATGGATAAGTTTCTATTTCACTGTTAAAAATATGGGGAATTCCAAGAAGTTATAACATTGTGGATTAAAGTGAAGAGGTCTATGGTGCTAAGGATAATATAGGTATAGAATTATAGTTAAAGTAGATAAGATGTTGATTGATTTGGGTATTCCTGTGGATATGATCAACTGGTTTGAAGACGATGATAGAAATTATTAATATGCTCCAATTGATGATGAATCTAGAGAGACATTGAATGATTTAAAATTAAAGAGAGACTCAGCAAGAAGAGTGGAAGATTTTGAATTTTTGAAGGAATTAAAAAGAGATATGAAGTTAATATTTGAAATAGGGAAGGAAATTTGGAAATTAAAAAGAGAGTTAAGTTTTTGTGTTGCTAAGGAAGATTATCTCAGAGCAATGGAATTAAGAAATAGATTAAAAAGATTAGAGGCTAAAAGAGACACTTTTGATGCATTGTATGAAACTAGCAGATATGAGAAAATGATCAATTTATAAAGACCTACAACAGCTGAATATATGAGACATTTGGAGTATTTGGAAATGTAAGAATAAATGAATGCAGATGCTTTAAGAAGATAAAGAGAATTAGAAGAATAAAATAGAAGAAGAATGATTTAAGAAGAATAAAATCTATTGGGTAAAAGTACAGACAATAAAATTGATAAAACACCATGGTGGGAAAAGGGAGGTGATGATAGAAACATTAAAAAGAAGAAAAAGAAAGAAAAGAAAGAAGATGATGAACCACTATTAAATTTCAATAATCCTTTTGCTTTTAATGAAGGAGATGTTGATTTAGAATTGTATCTTAATCCTTTACTAGCATAAGCAGGAGAGAAGATGGTTGATATCCCATTAGAAATATTAAGAAGATTACATCAATTAGGATATCTAACAGTTTTTGGAGCCAAAGCTTGGACAGGTATTCATAGTGATAGTTGGAGAATTAGAGAAGCTTGTGCTTAAGCAGTATTGAATTTCTTAGAAATGCCACTACCAGATAAATATAAAAATGGTAAAACTAAAAAATTGTTTCTTGCTGCTATGGAATTTGCTAAAATCTGTATGGAAGACAAAATATTATCAATATATTTTATCGGATTAAAAATATTATCAACTGCATTAGCCCCTCCTGTTTGTGGAACTGATGTATCCCCTGCCATTATTAATAAAGTTTTAAAAGAATTCACTCCAATTCTTATAGAAAAAATTAGTGAATTGAATTTTAGAGCTAGAGATATAAGTTTACACACTCTCTTAAGTATCTATAGACATCCTGCTGCCAATCTTGGAATGCTTGTATTAAATCTATAATAACATAGGTTTCATGTTGTTTTGATAAGATGGTTATGGATCCCAATTTCCCTACCTTATTTGTTCCACCTGACAAATAGCCTACTAGAATTATATAAGCCAGATTAGAAATAGTATCAAATGTGCTTTAAGAGTTTGGATACGATCAAAGATAATTTAATCATCAAGATATCTTCTTCATTCTAGCTACTCCTTGTCTTTTTCATTAGGCCAATGAAATTAGACTCTTAAGTATTGAAGTGATAGCAGCTTTATATCAATTTGTTGGAGTAGAAATAAGAACAATGGTTGATGCAATTGAAAATCTTAAACCTGGTTTAAAAGATTAAATCATGGCAAGACTTGATGAAATCGATTAATAAGCTCCTGGTAGCAAATAAGTTGATAGAGGGCTTAGTCTTGTACCTGAGGAGGAATAAGAAGAAAATTAATCGGCATTATTAAAAAAACAAAAAGATAATGCCAATACCTAAAAATAAGATCTTGATAAAACCATAAATAATGTTTCTTAAAGTAAAAATCAAGATAAACTAAATAATTCATAATTAAGCAAAAAATGATAATTCAATATATAATAAATTTTTATTATTAACTAATATGTATTGTATCAAAAATTGATGAGTAATTCATAATAAAAGGTATTATTAATTTCAGGATACCATTTTAATTATCCTTTGTTTTATATATAATAGGATAGCTTAAAATAATATTTATAAGAATAAGAATAATAATAAATTAAAAGTTAATAAAACAATAAGATTAAAAATAAACAATCCTTAAAATGATTTATTTATTGTTTTTGTTATACCTTTTGGTTAAATATTTAATTTTATTTAATTTTCTAAGATTATATATAAGATATATACAAATTCTTATTTAATTTGTTTAAATAACAATAGAGATCTGAAATTTCTTTATTAGAATCCATAGATTTGATTATATTTTGGTAAATAAAGAAGATGAATTTTATATAATAGTATTTTTATTATTAATGAATAAATATGGAATGTTCATTCCAAAGATAAGATTGATTCAATACTATTTTCAGGTGATACTAAAATAAGATTTAATAAATACATTCATTTAATAAGAAACTCTAGATTGCAGTTGAAATTTTTTCTTATTATTTCAAATATTCATTAAATTAATCTATTTTAGTTTTAGCTCGATATGCTATTTTTAGGATGGATAGAAGTTTATTTCTTTCAACTTAAACTAATTTACTTTATTTGACTTTATCAATTTCTTGACTTAATTTATAAGAATCAGTGATTGGTCGATGAGTTTTAGCTTATTCAAGATAGTTTTTTATTTTATTAAGTTTAGAATCTGGCATTTTGTTATTTAATTTCGAGGTACTAGCAACGTTGCCTTAACTTCCTGAACGTATAAGTAAGCTATTTTAAATGGTAGATTGAAGCATGTTATGTTATGGAGTGTGACATAGATCTGGGGAATCTCTGGGTTCAACTGACTTTTTTTCATTGCTCTTATTGATGAGTGTTTAGAGTAAGGCTTGTTGGGATTAAGTACTTTTATCATTCAACTTGATACGGATATCCAAATCCCCTAAGTAAAGAGGCTGAAATTACTTGAGTCTCTATATGTTTTTGATCCATTAGAATCTCTTTTGGCAATGTAATTCTTATAGATTTCATTTTATGTCTTATTCAATTTTTCAATGATTTCATGTTATCGTTGGTTGGAATCTCTAGATTTTTTGGATAGTGATTTTTGCATTTAACTTTTATGCATAAGTAAATCTTTAACACTGATTTAGATTTGAGTTTTTTTATGATCACTAAAAAATTTAGAGATTTCTATTTTAGTGTCTTTTATATCTGGTTTAGGATAGAGAGATTGATGATCACTAATTTGATTTCCTATCTTTTTATATCTCAGATATTTACTTTGCTTTTAATTTTCTAGCTTAACATTCTAAAACTTTGTTGGTTATTCTTTTCATTTTCAACAGTATAGGCTGATAAGATCTTGGAAATACGATCAGATTTGACATTAGATCTATTAGTTAGTAATTAATTATGCATTTTATATTAATGTCATATAAATAAATCTGAATTCTTATACACATATACACTACAATTGTTTTTAGTGAGGAATTTGAGAATGGATTTGAATAAAGCCATTGAAGTTTCAAGTTATTATTATGAGAATACTAATTTTTGTATAATATCCCATAGAAATCGAAAGATCTCTTCTTTTATAATAAGTTTATTTGTTTCAAGAGCTTCTTCTTAAGATGAGGCAAATTGATTATAACGAATAACCTTTTGACTTAATTGTATTTGTGTTTTGTCTTTCTTTATAATCTTAGGTCTTAAACAAATCCACTAAATTAAATCATAAGTTAATTCTGGGATAGGCTGAATAAATTAAGTGAGTTATTGATAATTTTATCGAATGATTTAGACTTGACTCCATAATTTAAAGACTTCAACCAATTCAGTTAAGGATATTTTGGAAATGTTTTATTTATTGGCTCTCTTTAAATTCTTTAATAGTTCGTCATCAAACTATATATAGAGAGAATAGTCTTACTTCAATAGAATCAATTGTTTTTTGAATTTATTCACAATATTTAAGAATCAAAAGAGTCTTTGGTTATCCTATAGTCAATTATTCTTCAATAAAGGAAAAGTATTATGGATGGATTTAATCACTAAGAAAGAAAAAGGTTTGCCTATCTCCATAAGCAGATTGTTGAAGTAACTTCTTTCTTTCATTCATATGCTAATGAAATTTTGTGAGAAATCTAGCTCTTGACTTTTATTCTTTTTCTCTAAAATATGTATAGCTTTATTAATATTCAACAAAAATAGCATCTTTCATTCGTTTCAATCTACTTAATTCTTTGTATCCATTAAAATCAAATTTCTTTAATGCATTTTATTATTGTTATTAATTATTCTCCATTTTATTATTGATAGGTGCTTATGTATATGAGGAATTCAAATTTTATTATTATTACTATTATTATGGAATAGGTTGCAATTATAAATATGGTTAGGATGGTTATTTTCGAATTGGTTGAACAGCAGGAATAGGTGGTTTAACTTTACTTTAATCTTCAATAAGAATTGAATTTTTTTCATGAATTGATTTAGTGGGTGATTGTTTAATTAATCTACTTTGATCTTTAAATGATTTAGTAGATTCTCTTTGTTGAATTGGAAATTTAGGTTGTACTTAAGTAACTTTTGGTGTCACTTCTTATTTGTATAATGATCCAGATCGTTTGTGCATTGAAACTTTAGAAGGTGATAACTTTTTTTGACTAACTTTACGAGAGAGAATTTATTTTTTATTGGTTGGTTATTTGTATGATTCTATTTTTCTTTTTGGTTATTCAAAATCTTATTTTTCTTATTTTTTAGGTTCAATTTATGTTTTATTTGGATCTGATAAAAATTATTCAGCTGTTAATAGGATTTTATCAATATCATTGTTAATATCAGGAAGAGTTGATGGAACTGAGGATTTGTGTTATAAATATTTCATTTCAAGTGGTCTTTTATGTGAATTGGTTTTATTTGTTATAGTTTCCATTTACAAAATTTGTTATTACACTTCCTTTATGGTACGATCTAGATGTTGGGAATAATCCATTAATGAAGGTATTATTTCTGAAAACATTATATATATATAATAATTTTAATCAAGAAAATACTTTAACACAGTCTAATTCTACTTGCGTCATATCAAAAGGAAATTAGAAGGCAAAAATAGCTTAAATTAACATGCAAATAAAATATAGTAGGAATGGTAAGAATGGATCTATTTCGAATATTGGAAATATAATAAATGGAATTATTGCTCCTGTAAATTTACCAACTGTTTAAGTTAATCCTACTCCCATTGATCTAAATTATGTTGTATAATTCTCATTCATTATAACCATCTCAGTTGTAAACATCATCTTTAAAAAAAATGAAATTGTTGTCATACCAAAAACTAATAATTCCTCTCCTTATATATAAGTAATCAATGAAATTACACCAATTATCAATGCTATATAAATAACAAGTTTCTATCTACCTCCAAATAGTTTACTATCTATAACTTTGTAGATACACATATTAGCAATCAGTTCAGATATCATCATAAATAATATGATTTCAAATCCTTTATTATGTTGATGTAACCAAAAAGGCATTAAAATATATAGAGAACATTCTATAAAGGAAGTTAATATAAAAACTATCCACATTCTAAGTGTGAATCCTTCATATTTACCTTTAAATAGTTATTTAAAATTAGTCTCCGATCTTATTATTTATTATGAATTTTCAATTAAGCCTTCTTTAATATTATTTGTTAATTAAAAGTTTTAAGAATTATTTTATAAAGCAATCAACTCTATTTCTTCAAATGCTTATTGATATTATTATTTAACTAAATAATATCTAGGTGACTCTCTCAAATATATAACAGATCCTATACAGCATAATAGTAATGGTAAAGAATTTAATGCCACTAAAATTCTCCAATGTCCTTCATCAAATCCTTACAATAAAGCCATACATAAAAATGTACAATATATCTTACCTACTATGAATACAGATGCCACAAATGTCATAACTGATCCCCTTATATTTGCTGGGATTATCTCAGTTATAACAATGTGTCCCAAAGGTATTGTAGTTCCAAAAATAAAACCAAATCCTAAACGTAATAAGAACATTTCTAAATATGTTTATGCTAAACTCATCCATAACATACAAACGAAACCAATCATACTACTTAACATTAATGTTCTCTATCTTCCTATTGTATCAGTATTGAATGCACAAAACATAGTACCACCTACTATTCCAATAAAATAAATGCTTGCCAAATTGGACACTTCACTTTAATCCAATTTCCATTCATGTGATAATATGGTTAACATAATACCAATAATAGTCTTTTCAACTCCATCTGAGAAATCTATTAATGAAACAACTAATAGAGATTTTTTCTAAAATGAACCCATTTTTAATGATTCCTCTAAGAGTTAATCGAAATTAACCATTATTAAATTAATAATTCTTTTTTAGAATAATATTTATCTTAAATATATTGCTTGATCATTGATAAACAATATATAGTCACTATTTATATATAATTGTTTTGAATGACATTATTAATAAAAATAGCTAAGAATTTTATAAATATATATGTATAGAAGATTATTTATCAACTATTATATATAATTATGTATTAATATAAATTAAATAGAAATAAAAGAGTGGAATTAAGAGTATTATGATTAATAATCAAATAATCATCTAAGAAATTTTGCTATAACCAATCATATGTTTAAGCATATCATCTTTAACAATTACACGTGAGGTGTGCTATTCTATTAAGTCTTTTATCTTCTATAATTGCACCTTATTCTCGGTTGGAGAATACTTGAGTACTGGAAATGAGAGTTTACGTGAGTTTTGTTTCTTCTTTTCTATCATTGGAGCACTTTTATATTTATAATTCACATTCTCAATTCTTCTATCTATTCTTTATACAATTTAGGGTAGTTATTAGATTTCTTTAAATACTTCACTTCCACTATCTGATTTGGTTTCAGTTTTTTTGTGAAAAAATCTGTTTTATTACACATATCCATTGAAATACTTTTTCATTGTAAACAAATGTTTAGGATTAAATGCTGGTTATGATTGATATTATTGCATTAATAAAATAATAAATATAAATAATGGATTAAACTAGAGAGAGTTTATTATGTAGATTCATAGTAAATTTGGATTAAGAGGAAAAGAAACCTGACAGATTATTTTTTCATTTACAAAATGCTTATTGGTATTATTTAGATTTCTTGAATCCAGAAGATAAAATGTCATAAACAGAATTTTATTCTTGGCTTTTAAATCCATTATCTGAATATAATGAAATCAGAGGAAATCTTAAACAGTAAATTATCTAAATATTAAAAAGCTATCTTAAATAATTTAAACAATATCAAAAACATATTCCTTTATATGGTGCAATATTGTTAAATGAAACTTTGGATTGTGTATTACTTGTTATGAATTACAATTAAACAGTATACAGTTTTCCAAAAGGGAAGGTTAATAAGAATGAGTCTGGTGTTGAATGTGCAATAAGAGAAGTGTGGGAAGAGGTTGGTTATGATATTTCTAAGAAGATTAGTGATAAAGTATTTAAGTGAATTTAATTATATAGGATTATTTGGAATTTGTTTGTGAAGATACTGGATAACCTTAAAGAATGTATATAATTTGTGGAGTGAGTGAGGATCATAAGTTCACAACAAGTACTCGTTATGAAATTGGATCCATCTAGTAAATTATACTCTAAATATAAAAGATGGGTTTAGATCAAAGATATTTAGAGAGGGGATTCTGCTTATGTATATTTGAATCCTTTTATCTAAGGATTGTAAAAATATATTTAGCATAAAAAACAATTAGAAAAAAGCAAAATAAAAAATACTAATCAAACAAATGAATCAGATTTAATAAGTGTAATGATTGAAAAGACATAAGAAATATTAAAGTCATTTAAGACTTAATTAAAATAAGAACAACCAAGATAGTTGTAATAACCATAATTTTAGTAATTCAAATTAATTATTGCTTGATATTATCAACCACTCTTTCAGATTACTCTAAACTATTATACATTTTATTTAATTCGTAATGTTCCTTGTTGAATCTCATCAATTTTAATTTGAGATCTTGGAATTATGGATTCTTTTATTCCAATTCCTTTTATAATACTATCATCATTTCATCAAATCCTTAATTATACTCATTTACATCATATAGATAAACTTATTAATATATATATTAACATACTTCCTTTTATCATAATCTTCATTAATGATATCATATTCTTATTCATTGTTATTTATCTTTCAATACTAATTTCATGTTATTTCTTTTATTTTAAAGCTTCTCCTAAAAATTTCAATTCTTCAAGTAATTATTTCTCATCATCTTCTTCAAATAACATAGGAAAATCATCCCTTTCTGAATTAACTTCACTTAATTAAAAAGGAGTCACTTTTAACATTTGTAAATTCAAAGCAGGTATTTTTGTTGTTGATTTCTATTATTAATATGAATCTCTTTGCTTAATTTATTCATCATGTTATTCTACTGTTTTCATACAAACTTATCTTTATTATTTAGGTGTCTTATTCCCATTATTTTTCTTTGGAGTTATACTTATATTCTTTTTCAATTCACCTTTACATTTTTTAACTTCCTATTAATTTTACACTTTCACTGGAGTTTTATTTATTTAATATGTATCATTCTTAGTATTCTAAGGTGTTTTAGGTCTTGCAAGTCTATTACTGACTTTGCTTAAACGACTCATAGTTGATCTCTCAGTAGTTTATTATTACATAGAATCATTACTATTGATACTATGATCCAATTTAGAACTCTGTTTAGAATTCATCATTATTTATTATTCCAATTGTGTATATGACAATTCAATCTTTCTTGTATAAAGTAAATGTTTAATTAGTTTCTCTTCACATTTATCTATATTCTCTAATGGATTAAATCGAAGATTCAAACTTTCTAATCTTAATTTCTCTAATGGTTTTAAATCGTTAATATTTAATTAATTATGTCCAACATCAATTCTATTATTTATATATATTATATATATTACATCTCTAAATTTTCTAATTTTGTAAAACACCACAATGGACCTGATAATTAATTATTACTCATATTTATTTTACGAAGTTGAGTGTTACTATCAAATATATTGGAACTGATTTATGATATGTTATTATAACTAAGATCAATGATTTTTAGGTTCTTTAAATTTGATAAGAATGATCCTACATATAAACGAGTACCTTATGATTTTAAAGATTTCTAAAAATCATCAAACACACTTCCCAATAAATTGTGAGCCAAATTTATTTCAACTAAAGATGAAGTCAATTGAAAGAACTAATTAATACGATTATGACTCAGATCTAAATTGTAAAGACATTAGAATTAAGAAAACCCATCTGTTGATCCCAATAAATTGTGACTGCAATTGATTGATCTAGTTTTTGAATAATTTAGATGTGTATCATAGACAGCATTCTAATTCATAATCATACATTCCTTACTATGGTGTCCAAGTTAAAGTTCTTTATTTGTTTATTTGACACATTGATAACCTGCATTCTTTGCTTAATTTAATATTTAAATACAAATACTACTTCATTTTTGCGCTATTATCTAAAGTTGTTAAATAATAAAAAACTAAAATCAAAAAAAAATTCAATAATCTTATTACATTACCCTCCATTTTTAAAGTACTTTAAAATTAGTCATGAAGAAGACACTAATATTGATTAAATAAATCAAAATGTACTTAATGAATTTAACTAATCAATTATGGATTTGGCTCTTAGATTTCAAATTATGGTTCAAGTTCAGAACAAATTATATAAAATATGAATGGAAAGAAAAATATATTAATAAATCAAAATATCCAATCATTCAAATTATGTTGGAATAGGTTTATTGATATTCCTAGTATATTTATTATATAATTGAAAAAGGATGGACACTTAAAAATAATCTATAACATATCAATAATGCAGAATATAACTCAATCATATAGACTTTACATTTAAAGTTCAAATCTATTTTATTTATTATAAGATACTATTGTAACAATTTGTAATCCTCTTTTGTATGATAATCAAGAAGAAAAAGAATATATTATAGTAATTTAGACTGAGAGAATCTCTATAAATGGAAGGGAGGCTTCTTTTTTTAAAAAATGTTAGAAAATCCATACTTATCAACAATTATGCTTATTATAAAATCTAGTCTAAAATAATAATAAAAAATTATAATTAATATTAAAAAATTTTTAAGTTAAAAATATCAATAATAACAACAATATAATAAATGTTTTTGAAAAACAGTTTAATTTTAAATACAACGTAATATGTATTATTATTATAAAATATAAATAGATAAAATATAATGGATAAAATATAAATTTTGAATAGAAAATTTCGAGAAAATAAAATTGATAAAGAATTAATTGATTATAATTTTATCTAATTTGATAAACAACATTTAATTTAATATATATGTTAAAGGTTTTTATTATGATAATATAATTTTAAAAACATTTAATTTTTATATTAGACCTTCACAAAATATTGGAGAGTCTGAAATCATAATATAGATAATATAAAAGATATTTAATTAAATTAAAAAATCAATGATTAACTATTTCATTAAAGGAAGTGTAATATTAGGATTGTTAAATCTCATAATAGCCTTCAGAAATTAAATTGAATTAGATTAAATTTATAATGATGTTAGTTGTGATCAAGGTTAGTCACTACATTACTTTTTTCCTATTTATCCCTATTATTGCATAAGTAAAATATTTTGTCTTATCAAAAGGCATAACTCCTGCATGTACTGGAGTTACAACACCATCTTTATAGAGAACATCAAAAAATTTTTACTTCGATTTAGTTTGTCATCCAGATGTTTAAGTTGGATCCTAAGCAATTAGATATTAAGTCTCTAAATTTTTGACTTATTTTAGTTGTGGAAATTAAACAGGTTAATTGGTAATGTCAATCAAAGATGATGGGAAATATTTTTTTGAATGCTAATGTAAAAATATTTTTAGATGATATAACTAGACGAAACTACTGAAGATAAAATTCGCTGTTATTTTGCATAAGTTAAGGATGGAATATATAGATGCTTATATTGTTATGATAATTACTATGGAGAGAACTGTGAAAACTACAATTATACATCTATTTCACTAACATCAAGTAATGTAATAATTTTTAATATAGAATGTCAAACATTAAATGTTGATGGTAGTTGTGCTTAATGCTATCCAGGAAATGGAATGATAAAATATGGCGATTCATTATGTTAATTAAGTAATTTGTCCTAATTAATTTAGAATGTTTTCCTTATACTAAATGTTATATTGCTGCCAATTATTAAGTACTTTAGTGGCTTCCATGTGTAGAGGATGGAGCTCTTTAATTGGATACTATTTGTGTTTGTAAAAAATAAATTAAATTTAAGCTTGTAACATAACTTATTGTTCTAAATGTGAGATAGATTTGACTACTTAAACTGAAGTATGTTTAAAATGTAGATATCCTTATTTATTAATAAACAACATATGTTTTGGAGATAAGAATTGTTTAAAATATGAAATCTTATATGATTTAAATGGAATTCCTACAGGTACATAATGTTTGGAATGTCTTTATGGTTATTTTTGGGATATTGCTTATCTTCAATGCTCAAGTTATTGATATTATTATAAATTTAGGTTGCAGTTAAAGAAAGGGTTGTCCAGTATGTAATGAATTGGGATGTTTATATTGTCGTCCAGGATATACTTTAGTGAATTCAAAATGCATAATTTTCACTTGTGTAAAACGACATTGCTTATATTGTTAATTGGATGATCCCAATATATGTACAGCGTGCAATGATGGAATGGGTAAGTATTTAACAAGTGCTGGTGAATGTGAATGCAATGTTGATGGATATAGAGGTGATTATTATGGTAGCTGCAAAATTTGTACTCTATTATATTGCAAATCTTGTGATCCTTCTCCATTCTCTTGTACTTCATGTGATGGCTTTTATAATAGAGTATTAGAAGGAACTTCTTGTGTTTGTAAACCCTTATTCTTTGAATATTTTGACAAAACTAAAACAGATGGTCGACCACTAGTTTGCAGATGTATTGATTAACTTATATTATAGCATGTCATCAAACTTGTTATGCTTGTGATGGGATTACAGCTAATGATTGTTTGGATTGTGGAAATCTTAATTCCTATAATCGTTAATTATCAGTTAAAGGAGAATGTGTTTGCATACAAGGATATGGAAATGAACTCTATTTTGATAATTAAAAGTAAGAAATACTTCCATATCGTGCATGTGCTAGTATAAATACATATATATTAATAAGGATGTTATAAATTATGTGCTGAATGTATTGAATCTAGACCTGGTACTGTTTTCTAATATTGTACATAATGTATTGAAGGATAAAATAGAGAATTATCAGATAATTTAGAATGTGTATGTAAAGAGAATTATAGTGATGATGCAAAATATTTAATTTGTTACTGTAACTTATTTCATTTATGTATTTTCAAGAATGTTATTACACTTGTGCATCTTGTTAAGGAATATTATCTACTAATTGTGTGAAATGTTCAGCTAAATCGCACAGATATTTATCAATTAAGAGGGAATGTTTATGTTCAGATTCATATTATGATGATAATATTAATATGGAATGTTAATGTAAATTAAATTGAATAAATTTATTAGAATGTCATTATTCATGTCAACATTGTTTATTTGATTCTGGTATTGATAAATGTACTGAATGTCCTTCTACAAGAATATCAATTATTGCTGGATCTACTTTTATTTGTGTTTGTTAAGAAAACGGTTATTTTGATTTGGAGGGATCTATGGAATGCCAACCTTGTCATTATTCATGTTTAACATGTGATGGATCAGAAAATTATAATTGTTTGAGTTGTGATACAAATTATCGTGAATATGATGAAGTATAATGTAATTGTCCTATTCGATATTATGATATAGGAATTCTAGAATGTTAAAGTAATGTACTTTATTATTAATTAGGCTGTCATTATAGTTGTAATTCTTGTGATAATGTGAATTTTGATAATTGTTTAGATTGTTCTAAAGAATTATAATATAGAATTTAGATTGGAAATACATGTATTTGTATGGAAGGATATTATGATATTGTTGGTGAACCAATTTGTGATAGTGAGTGATTTATTTATATATTTTTAGAATGCTCATATAAATGCAAAAGTTGCAAGGATACTAATGATTATTGTTTAGATTGTCCTTCTAATTCAGGAAGAGAATTAGGATCAGATAATTCTTGTTCATGCACTGAAGAATACTATGATGAAATTGAAAATCCTTTATGCAAATGTATTTAATTATCAACATTTATTAATAGTGTGTCATTTTAAATGTTAATCTTGCACAGATGGAACTGAGTAATCATGTACTACTTGTAATTTGAATAAATTCAGAAAATTAATAAATAATGAATGTATTTGTATGAAGGGTTATTTTGAAATGGAAGTTTAAGAGTGTTAAAGTATTAATTAATTATAAATTATAGAATGTAGTTCATATTGTTAAGAATGTGTAGATTAATATGATAATTGTATTTCTTGTTCAAAAGATAGATATTTGGATGGAAATAAATGTCTTTGTTAAACAAAAATATAGGGATATCAAATAAGTACTTATGAATTAAAGGGAGTACTTTAATGTTAAAGTAAAAATAATAATCTATCATTCAGATTGTCATTATACATGTTTAACATGTTAAAAGAGTTCTGCACAAAATTAATGTATTACATGTCTTGATACTGAAAATCGAATTTAGATTGGATCTACATGTATTTGTAAGGATGGATATTATGAAGTAGGTAGAGCAATATGTTTAAGTAATTAATAAATAATATAAATTTCAAGAATGTAGTATAAAATGTAAATTATGTATCTTAAAGAATGATACATGTTTAGAATGTGAGGAGAATAGTCTTAGAGTATTAAATTAGATTTTAAAGATATGTTAATGTCCTGATGGATATTTTGATGATGGATAAAATAGTTTATGTTAAAGTAATATTATCATTAAATAAATTTAGAATGCCATTATTCTTGTTTTACATGTTCTAAATTGAGTACATTATGTAATGAGTGTTTAGTCTCATCACATAGATAACTTAATGATTTAATATTTGATTGTCCTTGTAATCAAGGATACTATGATTCAGGTATTTAGTAATGTCAAAAATGTCATTATTCTTGTCTAAGTTGTAATACTTTTTAGAATTGTTTAAGTTGTATATCTTAGATAGTATCAAAAAGAGTATTGTATTTAAATTAGTGTATATGTTTACCTGGATTTTATGATGATGGATATTCAGCAAATTGTTAAAAATGTGATTATTAATGTAAAACTTGTATATCCTATTCTTATTAATGCACTTCTTGTCCTTAAACTAGAAACTTATAATAAAATTGTGTTTGTTTAAATGGATATTATGATATTGGATATGATTTATGTTCAAAATGTGATGCTAATTGTTATAGATGTTTTAAATCATCAACAAAATGTATAGAATGTGATATTTAATAAAATCGAATGTTAAATTTAGAATTGAATAATTGTGTATGTAAATATGGATATTTTGAATTAAATGGAGTTTGTTAATAATGTAATATAACTTGTTATACTTGTATTAATTAATAAGATAATTGTACAACTTGTCCAATTGATAGAATATAAATTGGATCTATTTGTAAATGCAATGATGGTTATTATGAAGATTATGATGATAAATAATGTTATCTTTGTCATCCCTCATGTTTAACATGTATATATACTGCAACATAATGTTTATCTTGTATAAGTGGAGATTTCAGAATTTTAAAATGGGGAACTACATGTGAATGTATAGATGGATATTATGAAAATCTAACAAATTAACATTGTATGTAATGTAATTAGACATGTTTAACATGTAAATATAATGCTAATCATTGTACATCTTGTGATTCAAGTCTTCATTATGATATTTAATCTAATTAATGTGTATGTATGTCTAAATATTATTATGATGTTATTACTAAATTATGTTAATGTAATTATTATAATATTATTAATAGAATGTCATTTTAGTTGTTTATAATGTTAAAGTCAATATGAATGTATTTCATGTAATACATTTACTAGAGAATATGACAATTCATCTATGAAATGTGTATGTAGAAATGGATATTTTGAAATAAATACAGAACAATGTTAATGTATATATAATATATATATATTAAGAATGCCATTATTCTTGTTAAACTTGTTTGAATACATCAATTAATTGTTAAACTTGTAGTCAATTATACTTTAGATTACTTAATAATAATACATGTTAATGTATTTAAGGTTACTATGATGTTGGTGTTTCAATGTGTTAGAAATGTTCTGAAATATGCAAAACTTGTCAGACATCTTCTACTAAATGTACATCATGTTATGAGTCTGAATAACATAGAATATTATAATTAGATTAATGTACTTGTTAACATGGATATTTCAATTCTGGATCATTAATTTGTGAAAGTAAAATATAATATTATATAAAGAATGCTCAAATTCTTGTTAAACTTGTGAAATTCAATCTAATTTTTGTACTAGTTGTGATGTAAATTAAAAAAGAATTGATAACTCAATTTAAAAGAAGTGTCCTTGTATTACAGGATTCTATGAAGATTAAAATTAGATTTGTCAAAGTATTTTAAATAATCATATTAAGAATGCCATATAAAATGTTATGATTGTATTTATACAAATGAAACTTGTATCAGTTGTAATTATCAAGTTAATTCACATCGTTATTCTTTATCATATTAATGCAATTGTAAAGATGGATATTATGATGATGGAACATAAATTTAATGTTAGAAATGTAGTTATTAATGTAAATTATGTTAAAATAATTCAAATAATTGTTTAATTTGCAATAATAATTTTAGATAGAATCCTCCTCTTTGTAAATGTATTAATGGATATTTTGAAGATGAATAATTAACATGTTAACGTATTAACTATTATTATATTACATTTAGCTTGTGAACATCATTGTAGTACTTGTATATCAAATCCAACTAATTGTTTATCTTGTAAACCAGATAGATTTGGACCTAATTGTGAATGTTCTGATGGTTATTTTGAAGCTGGTTTAATTAATTGTGTTTGTAATTAAACTTTATTATATTCTATTAGAATGTTAATTTAAATGTTTAACTTGTAGTCAAGATTCATATAATTGTACTTCATGTAAGGGTGACAGAATTTAAGTTCCTATTTGTAAATGTCCTAATGGATATTATGATGATTATATTAATGAGAGTTGTCAACAATGTCATTAAACTTGTGATTCATGTGATATTAATGGATGTATATCTTGTAATGGAAACAGAATATTATCTTAAGAAATGACATGTGATTCTCCACCAAATTCTGTGTGTTATCAAAATACTCCATGGTGTTCTAGTATATATTTAATATCTATTATTTCAAGATTGCATTGTAGCTGTATTAAATATTTATTTCTCTGATGAACTAGATAGTCTAATAATTTTATTTGACTTTCCTTTAGATGGTAAAATATTCCAATCTTACTCATTATCAAATAAATGCGAATAAATATTTGAAATTATATCAATTGATAAATTTGGAAGAAATCCTATTTGTTTAATAAATCCATCTAATAATCATGAATTACTTATTTAATTAGGAGATTATCCTATTATAAATGTAGGTGATGAATTGCTTTTCAATAAAAACTCACTTTCTCATCTCAGTTGTGAATAATCATTATCAATTTTTGTTAATAATTACATTAAACCTCCCAAGAATTTATTATAACCTTAAATAGAATTTGATGTACCAGATTATATAATCAATCCTTGTGTTGAAATTCAGATCTATTAAATTAATAGAATAAATAATGGAAAAAGAGCATTAACAAATCCTTATTGGTCATATACATCTTCAAATGGTAATACATAAGAATTAGATGATTTCATTGATTATCAAAATACCATAAAGGATTTCAATTTAATCATACCTTCAACTACTTTACCAATTAATTCCAAAATTACTTTCTTCATTCAATTCTAGAACTTTTTGTCTACTTCTCAAGAATAACATTTTATTATTACAACTAACAGTGGAGATTCACCTACAATTTCTTTAAATATTATTAGAAGATATTTTACATATCAAAAGATTAATCTTAATTTTAAAATCTAAACTATTTAATGTTACAAAAAAGATGTGTCAAATTCTCAACTTTAAAATTATGCAATAGAATTATTATAAATAAAAAAGAGTTCATAAGATGCATCAGAATCAAATGTTTATTATAATATTACTACATCTTAAGAAGATCATTCTATTGCAATACCATAATATCAACTATCACCAAATACTAATTATACTTTTTAAATTAATGTAACTAATCAAATTTCATAACAAAATTAGATTTAGAATTTTACAATCTAAATTATTTCAGCAGGTATTGTATGTTAATTTTATGGAATCTTAAATGTTTAATATTTTGCAAAGGATATGAATTTATTTATTAAATGCAAAGATTTAGATGTATAATTTGATTGGAATGAAGATCCAGATCTATTTACAGAGATATCATGTTATGAATTAACAAGAAATCAAAAATGTATTGATATACATAAAAAAATCATACCTGTTAATAAAACAGAGAAACTATAACATGTAAAGAAATTTAGTGTTGAACCACTTACAATTCAAGAGTGGTCTCTTAAAGTTATTAAGAAAACAATAGAATATCATTTTAAAGAAATAATCGTATTCTTAGAATATGAATTTAAAATACAAAAAATAGATTTTAATAGTGGTTATCTAATGAGGGATATCAATAATTTTGAATTACTCAATTTCTCATTTATATTTAATGAAGATTAATAATAAAAGTTGATTGATTATTCAGTTGGAATTGTATATGATTATTAGATTATCAATATAATTTAACCAACTTTTACTACATTCTAATTTAGACTTTTTGATTATATTACTCAAATGAATAGAGGTAATTAAATTAATCTAAGATTTAATGCATAATTTAGTGATAATATTATGCCTAACCTATACAATTTAAATCTAAATCTCAATTAACCTGTTCCTTGTTAAAAAAAATTATAAATTAATTAAATAAATCTATAAAATAATGTTAATCACTTTACAATAGCTGCAATTTGTGATTATTCAAACAACTTCCCATATTCATATTAATTAAAGTATTTCTATAGAGAATCTGATTATTATCAATATATGAAATTTGAATCTGATTATTCCATTACATTTTAATAGTATTAAACTTCTAATATATTTGAATTATCACTACCATCCTCAATGAATTCATCAAATATAAATGTTTTAGTATAGGTTATTAATTTAGGAGGATCAATAACTAATATATATTAAAAGTTTAAAGTAAATAAAAATAAATTGAATTGTACTCTTAATTTTAATTAATCATTAAATCTTAAAATCAAAATTAGTTTACTATTCGAATCCTATAATGATGAATGTTATAATTTATCACTTATTATTTACAACAACTTAAAATAAATGATATATATAACTAAAAACCAAGATAAATAACTCATTTTATCTTCAATTAAATTATTTAAATAAATATAAACATCTACTAAAATAGATAAAGGATAAGTTAGATTGATGGAAGAATAACAATAAACAGGAATAAATGAATGCTTTGATTAAATTAAAAAACATTTTATTGTTTATGGAAAATATAAATAATAAAATGATACCTAAATATAAATAAAGAATACAATTATCTAAAATGTACTTTTAATCAAAAATTTAATATCTTCATCATTATTAGATATCTAAACTATTCTTAAGTAATTAAATGATAATTCATTATTTTGGGATCAATTATTAGAATAAAATAAAGAATTCTAAATTGATTTATTATAATCATCCTTAATTTTAATTGATGACATCTTTTAAAGTATATCATTAATTAATTAACCTGATTAAGAAATGTTAAATCAAAGCATGTTCTTGTTAGATTAAATTAATACAATTATATCAATCATTTAAGAAAAAGCAATAGTTGATGGTATACATTAAGATTTTAAAGGAGTTTCATTTAATTTGACATTAAAAAGAATAAGCAGAAAACACTTTAATAAATTACTTAATTTAGAAATTAATTCTTTTGATTTCTTAGTATACTTTTGCTAATTATAATAAATGAACCTAATCTTAAATCCATATCTATTTTCTTCCAATTTTTCTTTTAAATCGTTAAATTATTCAAATGATTCTCAAATTGAGATAACTAATTAACCTATTAAAATAGTATCTTTAAAGAATTATTTCTAGAAGAAACCCTTTATATTAATTGAAGAACTAGATAATTATATCATTAATTTTAATAATTACTCAACTTGTAAAAGTGATTTAAATATTATCCAAGAATTTGATCTAATTTGTATAACCAAAACAACCAATCATGAACTTAAAAAATGTAATCTAATATAACAATATGATGAATCTTTAAATTTAACATTAATATCATGTTAATGTAATTATTTAGGAGAGATTTTCTTAATAAAATAAATAATAGGAAATAATATAATAGAAAATATTGATATTCCAAAATTTAAATAAAATCCAACAATTTAAATAGATCATGTTTTTACTGATCCTCTATACATTGTTATTAATATTTATTGTATAATTACTTTAATAGCATATTTATATTATGTTTATCAAGAAATAAAAATACATAAATAGGGCATAATTAATTAGTAATGTGAAATCAATACTAATAGATAAACTATACATTTATATCCTGGAAATGTATATATTTTTAAGAAAGAATTAAAAGTATATATATTTTATTATCTATTTAGTACTTGCATTAGATAACATCTCTTTTTTATTATGAAATTAATCATAATAAATTGAGTACTAGAATCCTAAGTAGCTTTTCATTAATAAGTTTATCATTATTACTTTTTTTGTTAGAATTTTAGATATTATAAATTAATAATAATTGGATATATGGACTATTTATTTTAATAAATTGTATTCTATTTGAAATTGTTAGAGGAATACTGAAAATATTTAGAGTATTATCTCGATTTGGAATATTGATAACCATTATATGTGCTATAATTTAAATAGTATTGCTATTCTCTTCATCAATTGCATATATAATTGATTTTAAGTAATATGATATATATTAATAATTTTTAGTTCAATAACAGAATTGGATAGAGTAACTTTAATTATTGTCTTTTTAAGTTTTTTAATAGTTTTGTTTGTTATTTTAGAGCCATTAATTGTTTTTATTAGAATATGTTTGTATAATCTGATTTTACCAAGTATTAAATCTAATTAATTAAATCCTTTGCATCACTTATTATACTTTTTTATATTCCATGAAAATTTAGAGAATGAATTATCTCAATATAAATTGATTTGATTTGAAATTATAATAATATTAGAGAATTTTATATTTATTTTTTATATGATTAAAAATATTATCATTTTTATTCATTTAACTCTAAATCAAAATATTATATATTTGTCAAATATTTCATCTAACTTATAATTTTGTATGAAAAAATAGACAAAATGATATAGTGGATTAAGTTACTTGCTTTTAATACTTTAAATTATTATTTTATATAAAAGTATTCTGACCATAATTATTACAGGATCATATATGAAATATGTTAATACTATTGTTCCTCCTGAAATCAAAAATATCTGTATATTGATATAGCCAGTGTTTTCATTACTAATATATATATAATATATATATTACTTATTTATAAGTGCATATATGAACAATATATAGGAAAGTATTTAGAGCAATATTAAAATAAAGACTATAAATATAGCACACCTTCCACCAAATCTATATATTGCCTAAAATAACTTAAATATAAATCTCATTAATAAGATAATCGAAAAATTGATGAAGAACACCATTTTTAATAGCAATTCATCTGATAATACAGTTATTAAACAAATTGCCATAGGATTCAGAAAACTAAGTTCTGTAAAAAATTGTAGGAACCTATAACTCTTCTTTAAAATCAAATCATCACAATAGAATATCGAAAAAAATTGATGAATGTACTAATATAGATACAATAAATACTTTATAATTCTCTTTAATAATAAAGATATCCCCTGGATAACATTTTAAATGCTCCTTTTTCTCTATTTTATTTAAATCATCAGAACTCTCTATATTTTAATACACTTAAGTTATCTATTCATTAGGTTTATTTTCTATAGTATACAATTGATAATAAATTAATATGGAAAAGCAAATTAATATGCTTTAAAGTAAGATAAATGGTTATTCAAAAATTTATAGATTTTTCTATTCTGTTATTATAGGATCTATTGAAATTTCAGAGTTGTTCTTATTTTTAGTTTAATTTATTGGTATTTGAATTAAAAATACATTTCCAAATTAATTACAATTACAAAGTACTTAAACAGAAGTATTTTGGTGAATGGCATTTATATCGCAAATGTGAAACAAATTAGTATTAGATAATTAAATACAAGAAGGTTAATAAATGTCATTTTAATTATATATCTAAGTTTCTTCACAATATTATAATTATTCTAATTGAACATTATATTTTTATGAGAAATTATCCTAATTTACATAATTTTACATAGTTCTATAATTTCTAAGTCTTACAATTATTAATTTATTTTAATCTATCTACAGATATGAATAATTTAATTGTTATTGTAATTAATATTAATAATCAATTAATAAATGATAGAAATTATAAGAGATAGATGTTTATGCTTTTTCAATAAAGGCAACGAAATGATCAGTGAAATCAAATTCAATATTAGATAATTTATTGAAATTAGTTTTTGATTATCTTTTTAATTTCCATGATACTTATTATCCATAAATATTTAGTTCATTTCCATCAACTTAAGCTTGACTATTGATTTAATCAGAAATTGATTAAATTAATTATAAAAGTTATTCACCAATATTATATATTAATATTTTTTCACTATCCATAGTTATGATTGTTTTTGATAATATTGAAAATGCATCATCAATGAATAGTATTGAAATTTGTAATGATTCTATTATTAATTCTCTTTGTTAAAAAAGTGATTCTTATAAAATTAAAGAGTCTTCATTTATTTATAATTCTAATTAAAATTTATCTTTTATTAATTGATTTATATTATTTTTCAATTTATTCACATTTGTCTATAAATAAGAGTAATTATATTATGGTTCATTAGAATCTTTTGAATTAGTAATAATGAATTTCTAGCTTGTATTGTCATAACATCTATTAATTGAAGATTCTTGTAGTGTTCTTTAAGTTAAATTAGTAGAGTTTGTATAGTTCATATTTAAGTAATAATGTGTATAAACTTTGATAAATTTATAAGCTAATTGTTAATCTTCAAATTTATATGTAGTAGCTTATTATTTGATATTAGAGAAGATTTAGTTTGCAACTTATAAACAAATTTAATTTTGATTATTATTAAGAAATAATTCTAAAGCTAAAGCAATTTGATATCGAAAAGTGGAATTCTAATATGAAAGTGTTGAACAATTAAAATAAATTTAATCGATTTTATCTATTAATATTTCTTATTCAATATTTGTTATTGATCCATCTGCATCCATAATTTATACAATTACATATATTTAAGAGTAGGGTAGTAAAATTTAGAATTTGTTTGAACTCTAAAATGAGTATAATATTAATGAATAATCAGATTTTGTTGATTTGTAATCTACATAATCTTTTTCATTGAGTAAGATTCTTAGTTAATATTTATATGGAGTGTCAATTGAAAATAGACAATTAGTTATTACATTGATATAACTTAAAGCTTTATTACCTTTAGAATCAATAGAAATTGTGCATTAAGGTGGTTAATTTAAATTTATCTTTAAATTATATTATGCTGGCATTATATCATTAATATATTAGACTAAAAATTTAAGATTAATTTAATTTCCTTTATTAAATTACCTATAATAATCAAACAATCTAAATTAATATTAATAACAACTTGGTTGTAATATAGCCAAAACTTCAAAATCATATATTATTCCTATACTATATTCTAAAATCAATGGTAAATCTCTGATAGGTATTAAATAAGTGAAATTGAGAGTTTCATAACTATTAATTGGTCTCATATTATAACCCATACTATAATTCATTTGTAATTCTCTAAAATTATCTTCTAAGAATACAACTATTTATTCAAAAGTTTAATATGATCCATTTTTGTATGCAGTCACTTTCCATGATTAAACTGTGAATGATTTTACTGAATATTTCAATATATTTTGTTCATAATCTGTTTTATTTACTTTAATTTTTTAAGATTTCATGTCCAAACAGAAATTATTTGTAGATAAATCAGTACAATTAACATTAATAGTTAGATCAGGATCTTAATTAGGTAAATATTTTGTATCTAAATCTTAGCATTCAATTAATATTTTTAGATCCTTTTTGTAATCTTATATTGGTTAGACTCCATTGAATTTACATAAGAATCCTGCAGGAATTATTTCAATTATAGTTTATTATGATGAAAAGTAATTTATTGATGAATCAGAAACATTTAATTAAAATGTATATAATGCTCTTGGGGTTAATTTATAAGATGGAATTTTTATATTAAATTCTTTCTGATTTGAAATTGTTTTGTAATCAATTTCTGAAGATGAACCAAATGTTCTAGCATTCTCTTATAAACTTATCTAATAATTAGAATTTTCAATCAATTATGTTGTACAATTAATCTTTTATATTGTAAAAGCTATATTTATAATTGAAAATGAATAAAATTGTTTTTTAACATTAAAATTAACTGAAGGTGCAGCACCTGAATGAGTTAATATTTTAATGATTTATTATGATTATTGACCAATAAAATTAGAAAATCTAACTGTAAATGTAATATTAGATTATATTGGTAATATAAGAGCATCTATATTTAAATCTAGTAATTAGAGACTTGTTTATTATTAGACAAAGTTATCAAGATCTCCATTGCCAAAGGATCCATAAACAATATATGTCCAGATAATATTTTTTAATCCTCTAAAACCATCATTAGATTTTGATTTTATTGTAATAATATTATTATCACAAGGATTTAATTAAATTTCAGGTACATTGAATTCTAAAATAGGACTAACAGGATTTTATGGTGATTTAACATTGTTTAATATAAATATTGATAACTTAACATTGCAATCTTATTATTATAATGTATTGGGAAGGAATTCAATAGTATCTCCTTCAATTATAGTTGGATTACTACCAAAGTTTAAATATAGAATTTTGTTATCAATATCATCAATTTTACATTAAGGATTGAGTCCAAATTTAATTAAACTAGTATTGGATAGTATTTGATAACACACATTTTGTTAAACTTAACTGGATATACTTTAAGGATTTAAAGGGAAATCAAATATAACAATTATAGATTTCAAATCATCAGATATTTGAATATTCAATACTGCAACTTCACAAGCTAAAAATAATATATTATAATATATACTTGAACACCAAGGAGTGATATCATTACATATAGAATTTTCAGGTGGATCACAAGTGAATTCTTCAGATAAAATTCTATTTCCTGCACAAGAGATACAACCATATCGATTGCATGTTTTACATAATGAATCACACAATTAACAATTATCATTGACATAATCATCAAAGTAACCTTATGAACATGTACAATTTGGTGGATTGATACGATCACCTTTACATGTTAAACAATTTGAGGTTATCACATTACATGTATTACATTAAATATCACATTCTATGTAAATTATATAATAAATTACTTAAACATGCTTACAATCCAGCTTCAAAATAACCTTCTTAACATATACATTAATTTGTTATTCTACCAGGTTTACATGTTAAACAATTCTATGATTCATTAATACAAGTATTACATTCATGATTACATGCTAATAATAGATTAATACATTTATATACGTTAGCATTATTTTTACTCATTTTCAAAATAACCATTAATACAATCACATTAAGGTGGGTTGAATCTTAGACTATCAAAACATGTTTAACAATAAATTGATGTATTTAAACAAGTTTTACATCTAGGATTACATTATTAACATTGTAATTAAATACCATCATCATAATAACCAGATTTACAATCACAATTTTATGAAAGTGTATATCTATTATTATTAGGTAAGAATTTGCAACTCAAACAATGATCATTTTAATTAAGACAAGAAGCACATTTAATATGACATTCTATTATTAAATTTAATTATTACTTTAACAAATCTTATTCTCATCAGAATAAAAACCTGTTATACATGGACATCTATAAATAATTGATTAATCTATTCTTTTTTAATTAATATCACAACTAGTACAATGATTCTCTGATCCACTA